TTCACATACTAACTTAGCCAATCCTCGTATCAATTCTATGATGTACTCATTTTACTGAGGAGTAAACCGAGCCACAGGGCTTATGTAGCTTACCCAAAGTCACACAGCAACGATGTTCCAGAGATAGATTTAAACCCAGTGATCTTGGTACCAGAGTCCATGCTCTTTACTACACACATACACACACATACAAAAAGAAAAACTTAAAAGCTTATTCTAAGAAAAATAGTAAATGCTGAATGCTAGATAGACAAAAAGGGATGTTAATTGTTGTCATGTTCACAGAGTGGAAAGAAAATACATGTCTCTACAAGTCACTTGTTTATACCTATATTAGTGCCATTGTTTGAACGGTAGAAAGGCTAGAAGTTGGCAGATTCAGACTCAGAGATGACCCAGCCAACTTTTTCTGTAAAAAGATGATTGACTTTTCAGAAACACATAGAGGTTGAACCTCTGACTCATGGGAATTGAACCAAAACCTTTCAGCCTTAGTTAGGCCTTAATGCTTTTTGAAATGAAAACTTTTTTGACAATCCATCTTTATTCCTAATATCCATGCTTTGTATAGTATTAATATTGTGAATACACAGATGTTTGCATTTAGTTTATGGTAAATCTTTCCTAAACTCTTATTTGTTATGATGTAAGGAAAGTTTGAATTTTTGTTGTTGTACTTTAATTTACTGAACACATTGGAAGGTTGTTTTAAATTTTGTTTAAATGTCCTTTGAACCAAAATATTTACAGAAGAAGTTCTAGCCAGCAGATTGTTCCATTTGTTGTGTTTGAGTGTGGAAACATCAGGAATGACAGCATATCATGATGCCATAGGACTTTTTTTTTTTTTTTTTTTTTTATAAACAACCTAATAGCATTGTCTAATGTGGTCTTTGTTGATTAAAAGTGTCACAGATACCTTTGCTATATTTAGGTAAAATCTAAGTTTCTTTACTGAAGCATGGAAAATGTTGATTGTTTTCTGGTTGGGAGGAAAGCAGTATGACTAAAAGAACTACACTGAACTGGGAACAATTATTAAGAGTCTCAATTTCAAGAAGAAAAAAATACAGTTTGGTTTTTCAAGAGTACAAAAATACTAATATTTGATAACTTTTATGTAAATATTGTGTATGCATTTCTGTCTTAGTCTATGGGCAATTAGCGAAGACTGACTTTAAGTGCAGTTTTAAATGTATCATGTAAGTGAACAAATATATTTTAATTACACTTACAAGAACACTATGTGGCTGGGCATTGTGCTTTCCATATATCTATATTGTACATTCTTTTTTTTTTTCTTTTTGAGATGGAGTTTCACTCTGTTGCCCAGGCTGGAGTACAGTCCCGTGACTCAGCTCACTGCAACCTCTGCCTCCCCGGTTCAAGCAATTCTCTGCCTCAGCCTCCCGAGTAGCTGGGATTACAGGCGTCCACCACCACACCCGGCTAATATTTGTATTTTTAGTAGAGATGGGGTTTCACCATCATGGCCAGGCTGGTCTTGAACTCCTGACCTCAGGTGAGCCATCCACCTTGGCCTCCCAAAGTGCTGGGATGACAGGCATGGGCCACCGCGCTTGGCCTACATTATATATTCTAAGAGTGTACATCTTATTAACTGTTAGTTTAAGAAATACATAACGGCTTTGAAGAAGCAAGTAGATATTGAAGTCAATATGGGCTGAAGTTGTCATAGGTATGAATGAGCCCAGTATTTGTGACAATAGAGAAAAATTTCTTCAGAGTTTAAGAATATTTGTGTTGAAGAGTGGAATGGGTGGCTAGGATTTGAATAGGTAGAATATAAGTAGACTATGAAGGGCTTTAATGTCAAAGTCACTATTTTAGATTTAATCTAATGGGAATGACACACATATACATGTAATATATATATATCAAATTGCATGTTCTTAATGAGAAAAATGAAGCTCTTCTAGGAATACTTAAAATACTCTTAATAGTTAGGGAATACTTTCCTTTTGTCTAAAGATGTACATATAAAAATGAAATAATTCCTTAAAGTACTTAAAAATAATAGTGACAGCCAGGTGAATATGATAAAGATTATTCACAAAAATCTTCCTTCTCCATTGCTTTAAAAACAATAGAAAACAAGCAAAATTAACAGTAATCAAACAAACATGAGGGGCCCACTTAATGCAGACGTTTTTAAAAGTAACAGTCAAGAAAGTAAGTGCAGATGATAATCAGGCTGATGTTTTCTAAACCCTTCCCGTGGATCTCCCAGACCTTGTAATGGGGGCAAAAATTATTTCATTAAGATAACTCAAGGAACCTAAAACTTTTACCGCTTTTGTTAAAAAAAAAAAAAATTGCTCCAAAACAACCCACTACTTGTGCATATTCATCTAATGATGTGAATTAAATGAAAAATTTAGAATTGGGGGAAATTTTAAGTCACTTTCCTTGAAGGTAGATAATGTCTAATGTTAATTATGGCCACAAAATAGAATAAGAATCTAATAAACATTTTAGATTTAAAACAACATGATTGACCAGACCTAGGCTATGGGTAGAACTTAAAATGTGCTCTCTCCTTCTCTCACAGAAGGAAGTCAGTGAATACTGACTTATAAAAAGAAGTGAGTTATTAAGAGTATAGTGTCTTTATCCTGCCCATAGCATCTCTTCTTAACCTTTAGAAATTATACTTCCTGGAAATGAATTATCTGAAGTTTAGCAATACTTTTGGTTTTACTGCATTTGGTTTGCATTCACTAAAATTACATAATTTAAAATGACATGCATATTATTCCATTTTAATAAAACATTCATGCTTTTAGTCCTTCATTTGTCTTTCCTGGTGACTACATATATTATTCATAGAGAATTGTTGGAATGTTACTTACCTTTCAGAGTAATTATTTCTATGTAGTATTTTTTGATGAGTTTTATTTTTAAAGAACTTTTCCACATTGTTTGTTGTAAAAACATGTACTATTTTCTTGACACAAGATATTTTTCTTTAAAAAACTGGTGGCAAAGTTTTGTTTGTTGTTAACATTATTAAGCATTTGCTAGTGGTAAAAACATGAATGTTTCTGTCCTCAAAGATCCCAAACTCTGTCCTGAAGAAATTTATTTTAATACTTCAACAACAACAACAACAAAAAAACTGAATCAGAATCTCCCTCATGTTCTCATTCTCTGCATGCAGAAGGAAACTTTAAGATTTTTTTTTTTTTTTTGTGAATTCCGAATTCACTTGTGCATCTTTGCTGAAGTTAAGATCTGGTGATATGGTTGCCTTATTTCATATCTGTGAAGTCAGAAACTTGGCAGGATGTGAAACTATATCTTACTTGCATGCAAATAAGTCAACCTGACACAGTATCATAGATACTGGTGGAAGATCTGAGACTCCAGGGCCAGAGAAAAGACCATTTATTACAACCATAGCAGTAGCAAGAACAAAAATGTAGCACTTGTTTTTTTCTGAATTCTACTTTCCATGGAGAGATGCAATTAGGGTTAGTTGTTGCTAGGCAGTAGGGTTCTTTAAAAAGAACCTTGATAGTAGGAAACCCTGGCCTTATACAGGCAAATCAGCCCATCTGCTCCTCAAGAGATAACTCTGGAATGCCAAGTAAGCCTAATCCAGGGAGAGAGATGTCCCTATTTTACTGGAAAATAAATCTGTTCTAGGAAGAAATATCTCTATTTCTGCAATTTGTACAAACATACTTGCAAAGAAAGTATGGAACAAGTTAGCTGTTAATGCCTTTGAAAATGTTTGAATACGTGAGAGACTTTTGAAAAATTGTCTCCCTGTAATATCTAGATGTTACCACTTTATCAAACTTACTATTGCAGAATGGATACTGGATTCTTTTTTATTGTAGTGTTAATATATTGTTGATGACTATGGACTTTTTGGCTTTTTTCTTAATAATCTTTGAGCTTTAAGCTCAATACAAATTTTAAACTGAACTGAAATTTTTAAAATTTAATAGCCTACTTATTTCTAGAGCAAAGCTAAGGCCTTGCAAACTTTCTTTTCTCATTCTCCAGTATTTTGTCAAAATTATAGCAAATTAAGCTACTAAACACATAATGTAGAGTTACAGAGTTTGATGTTTTACTAAGGAACAGCATTTTATTATTTTTAGAACTATGAAATGTAAAGCATTCTAAATGTAATACCAGTAAGAATCACTGAAATGTGAGTTCCTGTGGAATTATTATAGCAAAGATATCACAGATCCCATGTCTAGTAATTCTTAAGTTTTTGTTCATATTGTTATAATAGAAAAATCTTAAAAGAAGCTAATTAGAATATTATCATAATTAGAATATTAAGCTTAATTAGAATATTAAGCTATATGGAATATATTAAGCTATATGGAATATTAAGCTATATGGAATAAAAATATCTTACTAGGAAAGTTTGCATAATATGTGTGTTCTTTTCTAAATCTAATCTAATCTGGGACTACTTATAGCAGTAGAAGTAAGTTCCCCAACAGTTTTAGGAATAGTTTGTATAGTTTGTCTTATTTCTCTCTCACTTATATTGTTGTGATGATTTCTTACTGCTTTTCCCATTTCTAGTTATTTCCAGTTTAGTGAAGTCTGTTCCCTGTATTAAAACTGTGTTATTTAATGTTCTTCCAGATGCCTGCAATCATCTCTGCAACCTTTCTCTTTTAGTCCTTCAACATGCTCTTCAATATTTATTTGTATAAGATAAACCAGACTACTAGCCTGTTCCAGAATATATTCTGTGTATGTCTACATTTTTTTCCTATGTGAAACAATCTTCTATATCGTTGTTTGCTAAAATATGCATTATTCATAGCATAGTTCAAATGACTTTTTCTTGATAGCCTGATGAACTTCAGCATGTATTAATTTTTTAAAAAAATACATGGTCCTTGACTTTATGTGCCTCTCTTCTAGCAATTATGTGTTCCTTTGTAACAAAGATGTTTATGTTTGGTCTAATTTGTGAATTCATTTCTGTTTTTTCCTACTAGCATGTAAAAGTCACATCTGAGGCTCTCTGTCATGCTGGCAGACATCTTCAGCAAATCATCTTAGATCAATGCTACAATTTTGTTTGCGTGAATGTAAGTCAATTCAAATGATTGAAAGCACTTAAGGATATGAGCAAATGTAATGTGAAAGAGAACTAATTTGATTCTTAAATATTTATATATGAGATTATGATGAGTTCTTTTACATGTTTTTGGAGATTTTATCTTTGAAAGAGAAATAATACTTTTAACAAGCTAATTCCCATAATGAGAAGAGTGGTATTTTGGACAATATTTTCAATTTTCTATTTGTACCTGGTCCAAAGTAGATAATAAGAGACAGGTTTGACTCAATTAGTAGATCAAAATTTGACATGCATAACTTCATGGATATCCTTTAAAATTGTTTCTAAATTAAAAACTAAGCTTGATAAATATTTTGAATGTTATGCAGAATCTCTCCATTTATTTCTTGAATTAACTTTTAAGTCATTTAAAAAGTCTTCTCGTATCGTTTTATTTTTCTCGTCTTTTAGGTTATGACCTCTGATTTTCAAGAAACCCAGAAGTTACTGAGCATGCTTGAAGAGAGTAATCTTTCCATTTTATATCCTGTTGTTGTTGTTTCAGTAAGTGAAATTAATGCAGATTTTTCTCACTTATGCTTCCTTCTTTGTAACTCAATGTACATACTTTTAAAAACTCATCCAGTTGAGAGCACTGACCCAAACTCAAAAGAAACTCTTCTTTGTGGATTCCTCTGCTTATTGCCTAGCTATGACTTCTATGACTGAATGCCTTTATTATTGCAATCATTTGGTTGCACTCACAGGTTTGGAAATCTTTTTCAACCCAGCAACCAATTTCATTTTTTTTTTCCTTCACTAAATGGCAAAGTATTCAGCTTAAGTCAACTGGTTGTTTTGATAATGTAAAACAGCTTTATTTAAAATATTATCAGAATAGGCTGAGCGGGGTGGCTCA